GCTGGACATTAGTATGTTAATACAGTTGAGGGGCGGTTTGGGGGGGGGGGAATTGTGCGGTGGCTTACCCTGGCGTGTGGGGGGTGGGGTGGCAATAATTAGGAACTTTAGAAAGTGTGTTAATCGAATGCATTTTTTTTTCAAGTAGTCTAACTTTAGTACTGCCGCCGCTATTTTTTATAGATGAGAATTTCACGCATTGCCGCCGCCAATGTTTGGCATGCTAAGACTAGTGAATAATAAAGCAGTTTATTGTAGGAGCCAGGTTGCAATCGTTACATCTTGCAATTGCAACACTCCCACCACCACCACCACCTTTCGAAAAATTGTGAAAGACTTGAGCCCTGGATTGCAACACTCCCCCCCCCCTCAATTACCACCTTTTGAAAAATTGTGAAAGACTTGAGCTCTGGGCTGCAACAATAAGTCAAAACGTGTCAAACGTTTTATAGCCATTTTCATTGTTTCTATAGTATAGTAGTTACTATCCTAGTGTCTCATTTTTTATTTTACTTAGTTTACATGTTTTTAATAATTGTAAAGCGCTTAGAGCTTTATGGTAGCGCTATATAAAAATGCCTAAATAAATAAATAAATAAATAAGCTCTTGAGAACATTCCTTTTCAGATAGATATCTGCGTATGTAAAATAAATTTCACCTGTATTCGTTCAATCATGTGCAATCATTTTTATCTGCGAACGTTTAGCATTTAAGTTTAACTGTTTGTCTTCCAATCAATGTTCATGTGTGCGAACAATGCTAGTTTATATATTAATACGTTCGACCCCTGGTATTAACTTAATCGATTTGCGTCGCCATAGCTAATGCCTAATAATTGATTGATTTCCCACGGATCGATATTCACGACTTCAAGCAAAACACTAGTATGTCTGGCGTGAACGTCAGGTTAAGATGAACCGAATGCCAGGTTAACATGAACTGAATGTCAGATTAAAGAACTGAATGTCAGGTTAAGATGAGCTAAATGTCAGGTTAAGATGAGCTGAATGTCAGGTTAAGATGAACCAAATGCCAGGTTAACATGAACTGAATGTCAGATTAAAGAGCTGAATGACATGTTAGAGATGAAATGAATGTCTTAGGACATCGATGTAAAAACACAACTGTCTTCATCACAATTATGAACAATATTGGATAACTCCCCCTCCCCCCCCCACCCTTTTTTCTGTAAAAAAAATAAATAAACGTGTTCATTTGAAACCTCTCTTAAACTCACCAATCGACCCTTGTTAATTTTTCCTCACCGTGTTTGCATTCGATGAATAGGTCAATGCACTTGACACGTCATTTCCGACAAGAACTGGATCACGTGTTGTTTCTTTCTGTTGGTTTCTTTAATTAGTTCTTTCATTTGTTCTGTTCATAACGTTTTCATAAAATTTTTTCCATGTCTCTATAGTTTAAAAAATTGTGTGTGTTGTGTCCCGGACAAACAGTGAACTTTTTAAAAAACTGATACCCATATTTAAAAAAAAAAATACATAGATGTAGCCTTTGAGCCTACGGCAAAACATTTCGCTGACAAGACAATGGACAACACTAACTAACCTGTAATACACATTTCACAGTGCACGCTAATACAGAGGTGTGCAACCGGCGGCTCGCGGGCGGCATGCGGCCCAGGATGGCTATCAATGGAGACCAAAAAAAACAAAAACAAAAACAAAAAAAAAAGGGAAAAAAAGAAAACCTAAACTTTTTTTTTTAAAAAAAGGACTTTGAGTTTGCAATAAGGACACTTTTTTTTTATACCTTTAAACACGCAAGCTAAGCAAGGTCCTGTGGACGCCGAAAACATACAAGCCTGCTTTTAAAAAAAAAATGATACAGGAATTTGAGATCACGATGCACAATTTCCGGTAGAGTCATCAAAATTTTGATATCTTTGCGAATCCATTTTCTGTCGAGTAAAACATTTCATGTCATATAACCTGTCATATAACCTATCATATTACCTGACATATTACCAGTCATATTACCTGACGTATTATCTATCCTATTACCTGTCACATTACCTACCATATTACCTGTCATATTATCTGTCATTTTACCTGTCAAATTATTTTTCATTAAACATGTCATATTGCCTGTTATATACCTGTCATCGCAAATTTCATATAACCTGTCATGTTACCTGTCATATAACCTGTCATATTACCTGACATATTACCTGAAATATTCCATTTCATAAAACTGTAACATTACCTGTCATAATAACTGTCATTTTACCTGTCAATTTACCTGTTCATTTACCTGTCAATAAACTGTCGTATTAAATGACAGATTACATGTCATATAACATGTCATAATAATAATAATAACGTTTATTTTTTTTTAAAATCGTCTTTCAACTCCAAAGGTACAAAGTCAAACATATTACAAGAGATATGAAACAATTCATATTTTACCACATCAAATCACAAAACGCAATACTACAAAACTGCAAAAGAGCCAAACCCCTTCAAAGTCTTTCATCCCTTTCAACTATAACCTGTCATAGCACCTGGCCCATTACCTGTCATATAACCTATCATATTACCTGACATATTATCAGTCATTACCTGCCATATTACCTGTTATATAACCTGTCATATTACCTGACATATTACCTGACATATTACATTTCATATAAACTGTCATAGTATCTGTCATATTACCCATATATTACCTGTTATCTTAAGTGTCATATTACATGTCCGATTAACTGACACATTACTTGTCCTATAACCGTTCATATTACCTGTCATATTACATGGCATATTTCCTTTCCTATAACTTGTCATATTCTGTTATATTAACGGACATATTAACTTTCATATAACCTCTCATATTACCTGTCGTATAACCTGTCATAGTACCTGACATATAACATGTCATATTATCTCCAATATAGCATGTCATATTATTTGAAATATAACATGTCATATAACCTGTCATATAACCTTTCATATTAACTGTCATATTACCTGTCATATTACTTGCCTTTTTCCAAAATAAAATGCACAGAGCTGCAACCTGACATGCTATTTTCAATAAATATTTGATCACGTCTCTTTAGAGAAGACATAAAATACTTCTTCCAAGAGAGAAAAGTACCTCACATCACAATTATATTCCTCTTTCATTTCATCGCTGTTTCGAAGCACCCACGTTTCTGAGCTCCGAAAACCCCCAGATAACCCCACCAGACAATGCCTAGCGTGGAACCCACAGGGATAAAGAAAGAGAGGAAGGCCTCAGAATACATGGAGACGCGAGCTAGAGGCTGACATGCAAAATATGGGATACACCTGGAAGCAACTGGAAAGGAAAGCACGGGACCGTGATGAGTGGAAAGTTCTTGTAGACGGCCTATGCCCCAGACGGGGTACAAAGGCATACGTAGTAAGTACGTTTGTGAGCAGCAGATTTTCATGCCTGGAGCACACGTACAATGAAGTTAGAACCAAAATATACATCCGCTGAGCGTCTTGAGAAACGCACTGAGAACCGGAACTACTTCCATCGAAACCAAATAGGGAAGCAATAGTGTCTCTCAAAAAGAAAAGAAAAAAAAAGTCAGACACCTCATTAATCTCATATTCCTGTCTTGTCTTTTAGCTCAATGAATTTTAAATAACTTTTTTTCATATAGCATACTTTTGTTGTTTTTTGGGGGGTTTTTTTGTTTGTATATTTTTTTTTTTTATTTTGTTTGTTTGTTTGTTTGTTTGTTGCTCATCAGCAATTGTTCATGGGTTAAGTGTGGCCCCAAATCAATGAGTCTCAGGGTACCTAAAAGGTTGAACAACCCTTGCTCTAGTATGAACTCGATGATAATAATTCTTTACGCTAAAATTATGGTAACCCCAGAAATACACTTACAGGTGAATCCCGCCATTTTGTTGATAGTTCATTGACTGGGTGGTGATACATACGTCGGCACCGTTTTAAATTATTTAATAACGTAATAATGAACACACTTTTCAGGAGCTGTTGCACAGTCTCTTTATTGTATTTCAGACGCTGACATTTCTTCAAACATACTCTCTTTCTTCAGGGTTGAAGACATTGTGTTGTGGTTGTTATTGTTGTTGTTGTTTTTTTAAGTCAAGGAAAGAAAATAAAAACACAAATAATGAGGAAACAAATAATACTTTACAGCCAGCCGTAAATAAAAAATAACCATAAAAGTAAATAATTTTTTTAAAAATAATTTAAAAAAATAAGTGATTCACTCTATACTACCACTTGCAAGGCCGTTGCAGAGTTTTGGTTGGTCCGGGAAGAAATGTTTGGGCATCCAATAAATAAAAAAAAAAAAATTCATCTGAAGTATCATTGTCCCCTACACTCACACGGGCAGGGCCTTGAGTTATTTATAAGGTTCCCTGGCCTTTTGACACACGGCCCTGATGTAACGTAATCTTAAAATATAATGCTACAATGGTGTTTTCTCCCCTTTTGTTACCAGGGGAGGTATATGGCTCAAGCAAAATCACGTGATCGGTTAAATTTAAAAAAAAATAATATTTTTAATAAAAGTAACTAACTGATGAAAAAAACACACG